AGGAAAGGTAACTAACTATATCCTTCGTTATCCAGTCTGTGTATAATGCCAAAGTTCAGGGTTTATCTCAAATACTTATTCAAGTAGTCTTTGAGACTGGATCATCTCAGCTAGCCCTCTCAAAATTGCTCTGAGCACCTTGTAGTTCAAAGCTGATCTGTAGATGATGTTTGTCAGCTTAGTGATGTTATTATTGTCCATGTGGAATTGTCATTGTTGTGGGGCCCCATCTTCTTCCTGGAGACTCCAGACATGTTAGGCCTGGCCATGATTTCCTGCAGAAAACAGATAAGAGACTCGAACACAAAGACATATATATGCAGCTAATTGAAGCCTTTTTTCTTTCTAGAATTAGTTAGTACTCTATATGACCATTCATATCTTAACAAAATTTAAAATGTTTTTAATTTTAATTTTAAATTAAATTAATTTAAAATTAATATATATATTAATCTTGTAAATTCCGATATGAAATTCATACTTTAAGAAAAGTTTAAAGAATCAGAATAGAATCAAAGAGTTGAGATTAGTAATAGAATATTCTCTTAATTAATTTGGCTTTTCTCCTGTCCCATAGCAGAAGATGGTTCTTTTCTTCTGGCATGATGCAGGGAGTTTATATTTTCCTTTTAACAACATGCTTGAGTTTAAAGAAGGAGAGAGCCATTCTCCAACTCCAAAGTCAGCTTTAAATTTTAATTGAACTGGGACTATTAGAAGACCAATAATGTTATATTTCTTTAGAGAAGAGCAGAAACGAAATTTAGGAAGACTTATAAAAATTTTTTAGATAATATACCCATATGCCATTTCACTCTGTTTCCTGGGATGGATGATTTGTCCCTTTTATTCAGATGTCTCATTTGTCCTGTGTTCTTCAGATTCCTTAACCTTCATTCTCCTAAAAGACAAAAACAAAAACCTTTCCCCAAGACTAATTTTGGGGGTGTTCTTTTTTGGCAAGTTATTATCTGATTAAATGAAAAGGCATGTGGTACTAGTATAAGTTAGTTTAAACTGGATGTTCATGCTGGCTGATGAACTATCACCTCCTCTAATTAAGAGGTCTCTCTTGTTCAAATCGAACCTTTATCAATTTTGATGGTACCCACAGCTCATCTTCTCCTGTAGAAACAAAAGCAAAACCTCATCCCCAACGTAACACATATCCTGGTCAGCACATCCTTAAAGTATATAGGCTGATTTAATTCTGTAGTTTTTTCTATTATCCAATGTCTCTCTGCAGCTGTTGTTCCTTTCTCATTGGCATTGAGAAAATTCAAAGTTAATAGAGCATTGTGCAGTCTATTTCTGGGAGGTTTTGTTACCCCTTTCTGTTTATTAAGCATATCCTTTAGAGTTCTGTTTGATCTTTCTATAACTGCTTGACCTGTAGGATTATGTGGTATGCCTGTAATATGCTTTATATTGTAATAAGCAAAAAACTGTTTCATTTTAACAGAACCATATGCTGGAGCATTGTCAGTTTTAATTTGTGCAGGTATGCCCATGATGGCCATAACTTCTAGCAAATGAGTGATTATAGAATCAGCTTTTTCAGAACTCAAAGCAGTTGCCCATTGAAATCCTGAATAAGTATCGATGGTATGGTGTACATATTTCAATTTTCCAAATTCTGCAAAGTGAAACACCTCCATCTGCCAGATTTCATTCCTCTGAGTACCCTTTGGGTTACATCCTGCTGGTAATGGCGTTAGATTGTAGAAGGAACAAGTAGGACATTTCTTTACTATTTCTTTGGCTTGTTGCCAGGCTATGGAAAAATCCTTTTTTAATCCTTTACTATTGACATGATGTTTTTTAAGAAATTCTGAGGCCTCCAACACATTTCCTATCAATAGTTTATCAATCTCATCATTGCCTTGTGCTAGAGGGCCTGGCAGACCAGTATGGGATCGGATGTGAGTTATATATAAAGGATGACTCCTTTTCCTGATTGTAACTTGTAATTGAATAAATAATGAAGTTAATTCTGAAGCATCAGGGATAAATTCTGCAGTCTCAATATGTAATACTACTCTTTCAGCATACTGAGAGTCAGTTACTATGTTGAGAGGTTCTGAAAAATGCATTAATACCAACAGAATAGCATACAATTCTGATATTTGAGCTGAATTATAAGGACTTTGAACGACTTTACTTAAATTTTCTGATTTGTAACCCGCCTTTCCTTGTTTGTTGGCATCTGTATAAAATGTCCAAACTCCAGATATGGGTTTTTTCCATACAATTCGAGGCAAGATCCAATCAGCTCTCTTTATAAGATCAATTCTATTGCTTTTGGGATATTTGCTGTTAATGTCCCCCAAATAATTACTGCAAGCTCTTTGCCAAGGTTCACTTTCTGTCCATAATTTTTCAATGTCCTCCTTAGTTAAAGGTATGACAATTTCTGCTGGGTCTATTCCTGCTAATTGACAAAGTCTCAATTTTCCTTTCCAAATCAAGTCAGAGATTTTTTCCACATAAGTTTTTAATTTTTTATTTGGTTTATTTGGTAAAAATATCCATTCCAATATAATATCTTCCCTCTGCATTAATATTCCTGTAGGAGAATGCCTAGAAGGTAAAATAATCAAAATGCAATCCAGCTTTGGATCAATACGATCCACGTGCCCTTCATGTACTTTCTTTTCTACTAAGTCCAATTCTTTCTCAGTTTCAGGTGCTAATTCCATTGGACTATTTAAGTCCTTGTCACCTTCTAAGGTTTTGAACAAATTATGCAGTTCATCAGTTTTTACCCCAACAATAGTTCGTAGATGAGAAATGTCTGAAAATAATCTTTGAAAGTCATTAAGAGTCTGTCGTCTATCTCTCCTAATTTGCACCTTTTGGGGTCTAATTTTTTGTAGCTCTATTTTATATCCTAAATAATTAATAGAATCTCCTCTTTGTATCTTTTCAGGAGCAATTTGTAATCCCCAGCAAGGCAAAATTTTCTTTACTTCTTCAAACATTCTTTCTAAAGTATCTGCATTTGAGTCAGCTAGTAAAATATCATCCATATAATGATAAATTATAGATTTAGGAAATTTTTTATGTATCACTTCCAATGACTGTTGTACAAAATATTGGCTCAGAGTTGGGCTATTCAACATTCCCTGTGGGAGGACCCTCCATTGAAATCTTTTAACCGGTTGAGAATTATTATAAGTAGGCACTGTGAAAGCTAATCTTTCTCTGTCTTTTTCTTGTAAGGGTATTGAAAAGAAACAGTCTTTTAAATCAATAACTATGAGACGCCATCCTTTTGGTAACAGAGTAAGCAAAGGAATTCCAGATTGTAGAGAGCCCATTGGCTGAATTACTTTGTTAACTGCTCTAAGGTCTGTTACCATTCTCCATTTACCAGATTTCTTTTTAATAACAAATACAGGAGAATTCCAAGGGCTGGTTGATTCTTCTTATGCTGAGCATTTAACTGTTCTTCTACCAGCTCTTCTAAAGCCTGGAGTTTCTCTGTCGTTAAAGGCCATTGCTGAACCCATACAGGCTTGTCTGTTAACCATTTCAAAGGTAGAGCTGTTGGTGTCTTTGGAAGATCATCAGTTGTTGTGCCCTGTTCTTGTATAATATGGATGGCTGGTGATCACTCATTAGAATAATATCTTCTAATATTTCTCTCAGAAACATGTGCTAGTTTATGATTTGTTTCTGAGATTGGAGGGATGTTAATCTGAGTATTCCATTGTTGCAACAAGTCTCGATCAAAGGCCTGCATAGAGGCTATAATGAGAATCCCTACCCCAATCACAAAGAAACAAATTAGGGAATTCTTGGGGGCTCTCAGATATTGCTGCCTCTGAATACCTGGCTTTGCTGATGTTGCCAGACCTTTGTCACTGTGGAAGGCAATGCCCCCTTGGAATGGGCTGGGGAGCAAGATCAGTGTTATAGAATATTATTTTAAGATGTGTTACATTTGTTTATACTGTGGAACATTTTTTTAATGATGCGAAGATGTTTTGCATTCTTTTCTGTTGCATTTATTTAACTCTGTGAAGTTTTGTTACTATACTTGTCTAAAACACATAATAGTCTAGTAAAGAGCCTTGGAGGGGTCAAACAATCCTTTTATAGTGGTCACCTAAGACCATTGGGAAACACAGACATTTACATTACAATTTATAACAATAGCAAAATAACAGTTATGAAGTAGCAATGAAAATAATTTTATGGTTGGGAGACACCACAACATGAGGAACTGTATTAAAGGGTCACAGCATTAAAAAAGGTAAGAACCATTGCTTTTAACATGAATTAGAAATTATATTGTATGTGTCAGTCTCAAAGTTCAGGAACATTAGAAATGATTAGTAGAACTATGAAAGAAATATTAACTAAATTATACTTGAGACTGATCGTATTTAGGTTGAACTCTTGCCTTATGCCCTCCTGAGGGCCTGTTGTACCCCATACAGAGAAAAGTTCACCTTATATGAAATAGTCTATAGGCAGTCCAACCCCCCTCCCCCCATGATCCTTCGGGTACACCGAGGGCTGTTAATAGATTGTCCAACTCCAATCTCTGAATCCTTAAAAGGATTGCAATGAAGTTTAGGTAAGATCTTTCCTCAGGTCTAGGCTGCTCAGCCTATTGGGTACCATCCACCTGACCATGTATTTCAGTACAGAGGCACTTTATTGATCCACTACTTCAGAAATGACCAGCTTGAATCCAGACGGAAAGGGCCTTACAGTATGAGTCTCTGGATGCCCACTGCAGTTATTCCTGCCTAGATTCATCACTCTCAACTTAAGAAGGCACCCAAGGACCCTACAGAAGGAGAAATGGGCCACCAGAAATAGACAGCAACTGAATGTGGCCCTCTTAAAATTAAGATTTTTTTTTTAATTTTAATTTTTATTTTGCAATACAATTCAGTTCTACATATCAGGCACGAATTCCCTTGTTCTCCCCCCTCCCGCCCCCCTCACCTTCCCCCAGCCCACCCCCCCATCCCCACCTCCTCCAGTGCAAAGCCTTCCCCGCGAACTGAGATCAACCTGGTAGACTCAGTCCAGGTAGGTCCAGTCCCCTCCTCCCAGGCCGAGCCAAGCGATCCTGCATAGGCCCCAGGTTTCAAACAGCCGACTCATGCAATGAGCACAGGACCCGGTCCCACTGCCTGGATGCCTCCCAAACAGATCAAGCCAATCAATTGTCTCATCCATTCAGAGGGCCTGATCCAGTTGGTGACCCCTCAGCCATTGGTTCATAGTTCATGTGTTTCCGTTAGTTTGGCTACTTATTCAAACTTGGTCTCAACAATTCTCGCTCATATAAACCCTCCTCATTCTCGCTAAACGGACTCCCAGTGATCCACCCGGGGCCTAGCCATGGATCTCTGCATCCAGATCCCTCAGTAGTTGGATGAGGTTTCTAGCATGACAATTAGGGTGTTTGGTCATCCCATCACCAGAGTAGGTCAGTTCGGGCTGTATCTCGACCACTGCCAGCAGTCTGTTGTGGGGGTATCTTTGTGGATTTCTGTGGGCCTCTCTAGCACTTTGCTTCTTCCTATTCTCATGTGGTCTTCCTTTACCATGATCTCCTATTCCTTGTTCTCCCTCTCTGTTGTTGATCCGGCTGGGATCTCCCATTCCCCCAAGCTCTCTTTCCCTCGACCCTCGCCCTTCACTATCCCCACTCATGTCCAGGCTGTTCATGTAGATCTCATTCCATTTCTCTGTCATTGGGTGATCCCCGTGTCTTTCTTGGGTTCCTGTTTTCCAGGTAGCCTCCCTGGTGAGGTCTGCAAACCTTATCATGTCATTGTTTTTCTCTGCTGAGTAGTATTCCATTGTGTATATGTACCACATTTTGTTTATCCATTCTTCAGTTGAAGGGCATCTAGGTTGTTTCCAGGTTCTGGCTATTACAAACAATGCTGATATGAACATAGCTGAACAAGTGCTCTTGTGGTGTGGTTGAGCATTCCTTGGGTATATGCCCAAGAGTGGTATAGCTGGATCTTGGGGGAGATGGATTCCCAATTTTCTAAGAAAGCGCCATATTGATTTCCAAAGTGGTTGTACAAGCTTGCATTCCCACCAGCAGTGGAGGAGAGTTCCCCTAGCTCCACATCCTCTCCAGCATAAGGTGTCTTCAGTGTTTTTGATCTTAGTCATTCTGACAGGTATAAGGTGGTATCTTAGAGTTTTTTGATTTGCATTTCCCTGATGATTAGGGATGTTGAGCAATTCCTTAAATGTCTTTCGGCCATTTGAGTTTCCTCTGTTGAGAATTCTCTGTTTAGTTCTATAGCCCATTTCTTCATTGGACTGTTGGGCATTTTGATGTCTAATTTCTTGAGTTCCTTATATATTCTGGATATCAGTCCTCTGTCAGATGTGGGGTTGGTGAAGATCTTTTCCCATTCTGTAGGCTGTCACTTTGCCTTGTTGACCGTATCCTTTGCTCTACAAAAGCTTCTCAGTTTCAAGAGGTCCCATTGATTGATTGCTTCTCTCAGTGTCTGTGCTACTGGTGTTCTATTTAGGAAGTGGTCTCCTATGCCAATGCATTCAAGACTACTTACTACTTTCTCTTCTAGCAGGTTCAGAGTAGCTGGATTTATGTTGAGGTCTTTGATCCACTTGGACTTAAGTTTTGTGCACGGTGATAGATATGGATCTATTTGCAGCCTTCTACATGTTGATATCCAGTTATGCCAGCACCATTTATTGAAGATGCTTTCTTTTTTCCATTGTGCACTTTTGGCTTCTTTGTCAAAAATTATATGTTCATAGGTGTGTGGATTAATGTCAGGGTCTTCAGTTCGATTCCATTGGTCCACATGTCGGTTTTTATGCCAGTACCAAGCTGTTTTTATTACTGTAGCTCTATAGTAGAGCTTGAAGTCAGGGATCGTGATGCCTCCAGAGGTTGTGTTATTGTACAGGATTCTTTTGGCTATCCTGAGTTTTTTGTTTTTCCATATGAAGTTGAGTATTAATCTTTCCAGGTCTGTGAAGAATTGTGTTGGTATTTTGATGGGGATTGCATTGAATCTGTAGATTGCTTTTGGTAAGATTGTCATTTTTACTATGTTAGTCCTGCCTATTCATGAACATGGGAGATCTTTCCATTTTCTGACATCTTCTTCAATTTCTTTTTTCAGGGACTTAAAGTTATTGTCATATAGGTCCTTCACTTGCTTGGTTAGTGTTACCCCAGGTATTTTATGTCATTTGTGGCTATAGTAAAGGGTGATGTATCTCTGATTTCCTTCTCTGCTTCTTTGTCCATTATATATAGGAGGGCTACTGATTTTTTTGAGTTGATCTTGTATCCTGCTATGTTGCTGAAGGTGTTTATAAGCTGTATCAGTTCCTTGGTGGAATCTTTGGGGTCGCTCAAGTATACTATCATGTCATCTGCAAATTGGGAAAGCTTGACTTCTTCCTTTCCAATTTGTATCCCCTTAATCTCCTTATGTTGTCTTATTGCTCTGGCTAGAACTTCAAGTACTATATTGAATAAGTATGGGGAGAGAGGACAGCCTTGCCTCATTCCTGATTTTAGTGGAATTGCTTGGAGTTTCTCTCCATTTAATTTGATGTTGGCTGTTGGCTTGCTGTAAATTGCCTTTATTATGTTTAGGTATGTTCCCTGTATTCCTGATCGCTCCAAGACCTTTATCATGATGGGGTTTTGGATTTTGTCAAATGCCTTTTCTGCATCTAGTGAGATGATCATGTGGTTTTTTTCTTTGAGTTTGTTTATATGGTATATTATATTGATGGATTTTCATATGTTGAACCACCCTTGCATCCCTGGAATGAAGCCTACTTGATCATGGTGGATAATTGTTTTGATGTGTTCTTGGAGTCTGTTTGCCAGTATTTTATTGAGTATTTCTGCATCAATGTTCATGAGGGAGATCGGTCTGTAGTTCTCTTTCTTTGTTGTATCCTTGTTTGGTTTAGGAATCAGGGTAATTGTAGCCTCATAGAAGGAGTTTGGTAATGTTCCTTCTGTTTCTATTGTGTGGAACAATTTAGAGAGTATTGGTATTAACTCTTCTTTGAAGATCTGGTAGAATTCTGTGCTGAAATCATCTGGTCCTGGGCTTTTTTTGGTTGGGAAACTTTTAATGACTGTTTCTATTTCATTAGGGGTTATTGGACTATTTAAATAGTTTATCTGGTCTTGATTTAACTTAGGTTATGTGGTACCTATCCAGAAAGTTATCCATTTCTTTTACGTTTTCCAGTTTTGTGGAATAGAGTTTTTTGAAGTATGACCTGATGATTCTCTGGATTTCCTCAATGTCTGTTGTTATGTCCCCTTTTTCATTTCTGATTTTGTTAATTTGGATGCTCTCTCTCTGCCTTTTGGTTAGTTTGGATAAGGGCTTGTCTATCTTGTTGATTTTCTCAAAGAACCAACTCTTTGTTTCATTAATTTTTTGTATTGTCCTCTTTGTTTCTATTTTATTGATTTCAGCTCTCACTTTGATAATTTCCTGGGGTCTATTTTTCCTGGGAGACTTTGTTTCTTCTTGTTCTAGAGCTTTCAGGTGTGCTGTTAAGTCACTAGTGTGAGATTTCTCCAACTTCTTTATGTGGGCATTTAGTGCTATGAATTTCCCTCTTAGCACTGCTTTCATAGTGTCCCATAGGTTTGGACATGTGGTGTCTTCATTTTTGTTGATCTCTAGGAAGTCTTTAATTTCTTTCTTTATTTCTTCCTTAACCCATTGGTGATTCAGTTGGGTATTATTCAGTTTCCATGAGACTGTAGGTTTTCTGTAGTTTTTGTTGTTGTTGAAATCCAACTTTAGACCATGGTGGTCTGATAGAACACAGGAGGTTATTCCAATTGTGTTGTATCTGTTTAAATTTGTTTTGTGGCCAAGTATATGGTCGATTTTAGAGAAGGTTCCATGGAGTGCTCAGAAAAAGGTATATTCTTTTTTGTTAGGATGGAATGATCTGTAGATATCGATAAAGTCCATTTGAGTCATGACATCAGTTAAGTCCTTTATTTCTCTGTTAAGTTTCAATTTGGGAGATCTGTCCAGTGCTGAAAGTGGGGTGTTGAGGTCTCCCACTATTAATGTGTGGGGTTTTATATGTGATTTAAGCTTTAGTAATGTTTCTTTTACATATGTGGGTGCCCTTGTGTTTGGGGCATAAATGTTCAGAATTGAGACTTCATCTTTGTGGATCTTTCCTGTGATGAGTATGTAATGCCCTTCTTGATCTCTTTTGATTGATTTTAGTTTGAAGTCTATTTTGCTGGATATCAGGATGGCTACACTCGCTTGTTTCTTAAGACCGTTTGATTGGAAAGTCTTTTCCCAGCCTTTTATTTTTAGGTAGTGTCTATCTTTGAATTTGAGATGTGTTTCTTGTATGCAGCAGAAAGATGGGTCCTGCTTTCGTATCCATTCTGTAAGCCTATGTCTTTTTATAGGTGAATTAAGTCCATTGATATTAAGGGATATTAATGACCAGTGATTGTTCATTCCTGTTATTTTTTGGTGGTGATGTGTGTGTACTTCTCTTTGTTGGGGTTTACTGCTGTGGCTTTATCTATTGCCTGTGTTTTTGAGGGTGTATCTGACTTCCTTAGGTTGGAATTTTCCTTCTAGTGCTTTCTGTAGGGCTGGGTTTGTGGATAAGTATTGTTTAAATCTGGCTTTGTCATGGAATGTCTTGTTCACTCCGTCTATGATGATTGAAAGTTTTGCTGGGTATATTAGTCTAGGCTGGTATCCACTGTCTCTTAGTGTCTGCATTACATCTGTCCAGGTCCTTCTGGCTTTCAAAGTCTCCATTGAGAAATCGGGTGTTATTCTGATGGGTTTGCCTTTATATGTCACTTGGCCCTTTTCCTTTGCTGCTCTTAATATTCTTTCTTTATTCTGCACGTTTATTTGTTTAATTATTATGTGGCGAGGGGACTTTTTTTGGGGTCTAGTCTGTTTGGTGTTCTATAGGCTTCTTGTATCTTCATAGGCATTTCCTTCTTTAAGTTGGGAAAGTTTTCTTCTATGATCTTGTTGAATATATTTTCTGTGCCCTTGAGTTGGTATTCTTCTCCTTCTCCCTATTATTCATAGGTTTGGTCTTTTCATGGTGTCCCAAATTTCTTGGACTTTTTGGTTCATGACTTTGTTGGCTTTAGTGTTTTCTTTGACTAATAAATCTATTTCTTCTACTGTATCTTCAACGCCAGAGATCCTCTCTTCCATCTCTTGCATTCTGTTGATTATACTTGCATCTGAAGTTCCCAATCATTTACTCAGATTTTCTATTTCCAGCATTCCCTCTGTTTGTGTCTTCTTCATTTTTTCTATTTCCCTTTTCAGGTCTTGGACTGTTTCCTTCATTTGTTTCATTGATTTTTCTTGATTTTCTTTCAGTACTTCATTGTTTTCTTCTAGGACTTTATTGATTTCTTCTAATTTGTTTGCCCTTTCCTCTAGTTGTTTACATTGTGCTTTGTCTTTTCCTCTACACAAGCCTCTAGCTTCTTCATGATGTCATTCATAAGGCTGTTTTCTTCTGCTTCTTCCAATTTCTGATGTTCAGGTCTAGGTGTTGGAGGAGGGCTAGGTCCTGGTGATGATGTATTGCTATTCATTTTGTTGTATGTGTTTCTGCCTTGACGTCTGCCCATCTCCTTGTGGTTTGTTCTTGGTCTTATCCGCACACTTGTTTCAGACAGAGCTGACAGATTCAGGAAGTGTCTCTCTCTTGTCTAGATGGGAGCTCTCTTGTCCAAATTGGATGTCCGGGGCAGGATGGGAGCTCTTCTCTCTCTCTCTCTCTCTCTCTCTCTCTCTCTCTCTCTCTCTGCTCCAGAAGGGAAGTCCGGGGCAGGATGGGAGCATGGGAGCTGGGGGCTGGCCTCTAAGTCTCAGGAAAAGGGCAAGATGGGAGCTGGGGGCCAGCCTCTAAGTCTCAGGAAGAGGCTTGGGGCTTGGGCGGATGGGCATGGGGGCAGGGTGTGGAGATTGCAGGGTCTGCTGGGGATCTTGGAGAAGGGGATCCTTCCCAGTGGGGCTAGAAGGGAACCTGCCCAGTGGCCAGAACCTGGGGCCAAGTTGGGCAGGTCTTCCCCAGAGTGGCTGGTGTCCAGGGATGGGGTCCGGGCCCAGCTAGGGCACTCACCTGTGCTCCAGAAGGGAAGTCCAGGGCAGGATCAAAATTAAGATTTTTAAGGTTTAAAATTTTTTTTTGTTTTGTTACTAATTTGTTCTTGTTTTCTCTTACTGCTTTGTAAACTACAATCATAGTCCTAACCTGTTAGATTGCATTTATGGTCTTAAACTCTAGCTATGAAAATCCTAACAAGAGTCTCACCTGGAGCCGGGAATTTAGGTTAACAACAGGAGAAATTTTGGCTTCAGTCAGGACCCAGGACCAACCCAGGCTGAACACTGACCTTTGCAATCTATTCAGCCTAGGCTGTGCTGTTGATGTTTGGCCTAGTTATGCATTTGGCATGGATCAAGTTGCTTGGCACGGTGCCTGCCCAAAAAAGAACATACAGGTACTTGTTACTGTAGCAATCTTAGTCATGAAAGAAGCCTGCAAGACACCCAAATTTATGCTTGTCCAGCTCATGGAGCTTGCTCTCATGCTGAAGACAGTAAACATGAACAGCACTGTACTTCTTAGAGCTTTGTAACTTGCCTCCTGGGAAAACCCCCAAACCTTACTGAGATCAAGCCCAATCATGAACAAGGATCATGCAATCCTGTAACCTTTATGCACAAAATGTGGAACATATATCATTCTCCCTGGAGTACCAAAGAAACCTGGGGATTTAGGTTATGTCTCTCTGGACATGATCCCTGTACCTTAGTTACAATGCAAAGAGAGCAAACTCAACCAGAAATACCAAAACCTATAGGTCCAGATAGAAATCTCCCAGTACCCCAGATTCTCCCATTATGTCCATGTCTCATCATAGCACACTCACAGCTTACCACAACACACATACATCCTAAGGACATGCCAACTACTGTCAGGCCTATTTCAATTTCTAAACTACCCTTACATATGCCTCTGCATACACTTTCATACACCTTGCCCCCACTTAAAATTCAAAGGACTCCAATACTCACATCTACTCTTCCAACAGAGGTTCCCTTTTATCTATGCTCTCAGCAGCCTTTTCCTTCCTTAATCATTCTGCACCTAACCTAACACAATATTGTTGGCTTTGTCTGGGTCCCAAACTCCCTTGTTATGTGGGGATGGCTTATAACCTATCTATTACAGCATTTCCATAAGTTACTGCTGATACCTGTTTTTGTTCCCAGCCCCAACTAACACTAGGTGATATACAGGGACAGGGACTATGCATTATGTCCAGTGCATCAGATCACATGGCATCTCTTTATTTGGCTAATTGTGTGACCATAGTATGAAACCTAACTGTCACCAGCTTGCTTTGAGAACAAACAACTACTTCTTTCTACCCCTTTAGAAGCCAGGTGGGCCTCTACAGATGGAATAATGGGTTGCTTATCTGTCTCCTGCATTGTACGTGGAACACACCCAGTTTTGTATTCTCACTCATATTATCCCTCAAATTATATTTGTGATGAGGAGGCAGGCTACTTACATGGCCATCCCAGGACCAAGTCGGTGGCTCCCATTTCATTCCATTTTTATTGGGTACGAGAATAGCTGGTTCCATAGCACTGGAAACATCGGTACTAGTTCTATAAGATCAAAGGTTCAAAACTCTAAATGCCCAAATTAAATTCAGTCTCTAGGATGAGAACAAGTAGATTCTTTGGCAGAAGTAGTATTACAAAACAGGAGAGGTCTTGATTTGCTCCTTATGAAACAAGGGCTATGTGTGGCCCTAGGAGAAACTATGCTGTTTCAATCAAGAGTAATTAGAGAAACTTTAGCTATGGTAAGAAACTATCTTAAAACCAAATACTGCTGGGCGGTGGTGGCGCACGCCTTTAATCCCAGCACTCGGGAGGCAGAGCCGGGCGGATCTCTGTGAGTTCGAGGCCAGCCTGGGCTACCAAGTGAGTTCCAGGAAAGGCACAAAGCTACACAGAGAAACCCTGCCTCGAAAAACCCAAAAAAAAAAAAAAAAAAAAAAAAAAAAAAAAAAAAAAAAAAAAACCAAATACTTAGACTACCAAGGAAGAAATAATTGGTACCAATTCCTATTCATCTGGTCCCCATGGCTAACCACTCTCATTTCAGCTGCTGTAGGACCCCTAATACTCCTCCTAATACTGTTCACAATCAGGCCATGTATCTTCTGATGCATTATAAATTTTGTCTCCTATCAGACAGACTATGCTAAAATACATATCCTCCACCAACATTATCAGCCCATGCAACAGACAGAAATGACAGTTCCCTATCAAGGATTTGAAGGAGACACATAACCCAAGGGGGAAATGATGGACAAGCCTGACTCCATCTTAAGGTTGGAAGCTATTTTATTACAAGGTGAGAATAAGTTCATTTATGATTATTGTAAAATTCAAGTTTGACCATATATTAACCTATTTCTGGAATTTGACATATATGGTGGTTTGAGTAGGTATGCTTGGCCTATAGGGAGTGGCACTATAAGCAGGTGTGGCCTTATTAGAGTAGGTGTGACATTATTGGAGGAAGTGTATCACCAGATGTGGGCTTTGAAGTCTTATATGCTCAAGCTATGCCCGGTAAGGTGCAGTTGCTTCTGCTGCCTGCTGATCAAGATGTAGAACTCTCAGCTCCTTCTCCAGCATCACGTCTGCCAAAACATTGCCATAAAGATAATGGACTAAACCTCTCAAACTATAAGCAAGCCACAGTTAAATGTCTTCCTTTGTAATAGTTGCTGTGGTCATGGTGTCTCTTCACAGTAATAGAAACTCTAACTAAGACTTCATGTTCTCCACCCTATGGAGTTTGACTCATCCTTTGAACATACCCTGAACTGTGCCCTTATAAGATATTCTGTAGCTAGGTGGTGGTGGCGCATGCCTTTAATCCCAACACTCGGGAGGCAAAGGCAGGTGGATCTCTGTGAGTTTGAGGCCAGCCTGGGTTACAGACTGAGTTCCAGGACAGGCTCTAAAGCTACACAGAGAAACCCTGTCTCGAAAAACCAAAAAAAAAAAAAAAATGTTCTGCCAAGGAATCTTGAGATATCTTGAGATGTTCTGTCAAGATGATCTGTCTGCTTCTGTAATTTGCTTGCCAAGTCCTTATGCTACCAAATTCCTCCAAAAATCCCCAGTTTATACCTTTTTCTCTATGAAAGTTCACCCTTCCTGCTCTCTCAAATTCAACTTTGGAGAGTCAGTCCTATACATAGTAAATAAAGCTTGCTTACTTAACCTAAATTTGGGTAGAGGTCTTTATTTTTGCTTGGTGGGATCAACAAATGTCTAATTTGTAAATTTATTTGCAAAGTCAACACTGCAGAGTTCTATAAAGGGGAATTCTGACAAGATGAAAAACTATTACATTTCTTTTTTTCTTTCTTTCTGAGACATGATCTTTATACATAACGCTGACTAGCCTAGACCTCCATTATGTAGATCAGGCTGGCCCAAAACTCACAGAGATCTGCCTGATGTTGCCTACTGTGTGCTGGGATTAAAGACATGAACCACTTCTCCAGGCTCCAATTTGTCAAAAAGTAGTTGTCATTGAGCGTAGCTGCCGTGTCTCAAAATCCCAGCTGTTGGCTGGAGGAGACTTGAGGGCTGGAGGAAACTTGAGGATCTGGAGTTCAGCTACAAAGTGAGTTAATGGCCAGCCTGAATTACATGAGACCCTGTATGAAAACAAAACAGGCTTCACCATAGCACAACAGGTACTAAGATGCTCATAATGGCTGCACTTGCAATCTCAGTACTTAGCAAGTAGGGTCAAAACAAAAGGTCTGCCTTGAGTTTGAGGCCAACTTGGGCTACATAATGACTTCCTTGTCAGCTTGGGTCATAGAGTAAGACCATGTCTCAAAATAAACAAACAAATAACATTTGGAAGAAATGTGCTTCTAGACCAACTATCTACTGCTTTATGTGACAAATGCCACCACCAACTACCTACTGCTTTGTGTATAGCATTTCAACCTCCTGTATTTACTTTTCATTTTTAAAGTTAGTTTTATTGTCGTAGTCTGATTACAGTTTCTGTGATACTTCCCAGACTCCTGCCCTTATCTCTTTCTGACCATGGCTTTGTGCTGTCAAGTGGTGAGGAGACATAAGTGTAAACTGCTTCATCCTGACAAGTATCAAGTATACCAATTATCCATTACATTGTATCAATGTAAGCAGTCTGTGGCTTAGCTTTCAAGATTCCTGTAATCTCAGGTTCCTACTTGGCTCTCTCTCTGCCTTGCTGTTTTCCAGAAATTCTATGGAACTTCTATCTGGTCAGATATAATTTACAAGGAATAAAGTCAAACTTTTTTGTTTATTTGTTTTTTGTTTTTATTTTTTAGATAAGGCATTGGTTATTTACATAGCCCAGGCTGTCCTCAATTTTGGGGTCTTCTAGCCCAGACTCACCAATGCTGTGAATTATATACTGTTCCACCAAGCTGGGTACATTTTTTTTCTTTCATTTTTTACAGACTAGGTCTCAGGTCTCCAGTCTAGCCTCGAACTCATTTTGTCAACCTCTGATGTTTGAGATTACAGGCAAGCATCACCACATTCAGCTCCTGACAAATTTAAAGCATGTAATTTTGAATTTATAAGTTGTGTTTTGTTAAGTGTATGAGGCCATGTAATCACCACCCAAATCACCATATAGGAGACTACCAGTAGGACTGGGGCTGAACTCAGCTCAGCTAGATTGACTGCTGTAGAAGAGGACCTTGGGTTCAATTCATGTACCTAAATGCCATCATGGAGAGGTATGCCTGTAATACCAGCACTAAAACAGGAGGATTCCTTCAAGTTCAAGGCCATGGTGAGTCACAAATTGAGATCTTATCTCTCTCTAACCCCCCAAACCACTAACTATATCTTGCCCTCAAGAAAGTCCCATTGAAGTCAGTGTCTTGCTTTTCCCTAGAATCCATGGTGTCTGCTGTTAGGGATTTTCCTTTCCTACAGTGTCATAAAAACAGAGTGAAACAGTTTATAATCCATCACATGGGGTAGGTATAGAATAAAGAGAGCCCTTTTACATCTGTCTTCTTTCACTCTTCAGTGCTTCTGAGATGCTAATCCTTCATTGCCAGGATCTGTGGATTGGACCTATAAGAGTTCCAAATCCAAAGGAGGCTGTCCTTGACTCACTCATGTACTGATGGACACGGTTTCTGTTGGTTTGGAGCCAAGGCCTTGCATGTCCCAGAGAAATGCTCTGCCACTGGAGCTCCTGATGTCCTGGCACTGACTGTAGTGAGCAAAGCTTTGAGGGTCATGATGTATTCTGTGTGGACATACAAATCCATCTGGACAAAATACAAGCATAAGAGTCTATAAAATTTTAGCTGTCAAACTTGATCCATTGTGGCTGTATCATTTTAAATTTCAAAGGAACATGGAGTTATGGTTGCTTTTTATCTCTGCCAATATTTCATAATTGGAGTTTAGTATTGGGTATAGAGTAGCTTGACTCTTGTTTCATTTTGTATTTCCCTGATGACTATCTTGCACATTAGTGGCTTAAATGAGAAATGTCCTCCACAGGAGCTCGTATTTGAACATTTGGTTCCCAGTTAGTGGTGCTGTTTGAGGAGGTTGTGGAAGTTCTGGAAGGTGGAACTTTTCTGGAGGATTTAAATTTTTGTTAGCTCTTTGAGAATTTTGTATGGTGTGTAGATGTAATTCTAAACAGTCTTATTAAATAAGAAACACAGATCCAAATAAAGAGTTAAAAGTCCAAGAGGTCAGAGCACTTTAGCTTACCAGCTGCTGCTGTCCTTCCCCTGAGAAAGAGACCTACTTCCTGTGTGTCTGTATTTTTATTGACTTTCTGTTCTGCCTTCTCATTGGTTCTAAACACAACCACATGACCTCCTCATCACTGCCTGTCTATACAGACCTCCAGGTCTCTATGGTTGGTACTTGGATTAAAGGCATGTGTCACCAAGCTGGCTGTATCCTTGAACACATAGACTCTGCCTGCCATGTGATTGGATTAAGGGCGTGTGCTACCACTGCCAGACTTCTGCTAAATGGCTTGCTATTAGCTCTGACCTTCAGGCAACTTTATTTATTAACATACAAATAAAATCACATTTCAGCACAAATAAAATATCACTATAATGGTGTTTTGAACAAATTTGATTTTCCAAATCCAAACAATTTGTTTAATAGTTTGCCCAACACTACTTAGCTAAAAAATGGTAAAGCTGGATTTAAATACAAACTACTATTGTACAACTTCCTAATATTCATATTATATATTATATGCCCATATTATATCATATTATATTATATACATAATATATATTATAGCCCAGGTGGCCTGGAACTCCTGGAAATCCTTCTGCCTCCCTTTCCCAAGTACTGGAATTACATGCATGAATCATAATGTACAGGTTAATATCCTTTAAACAAACTTTTTAAGATGCTGGGGATTGAGTTCAGTGGCCACATGTGTGCTAGGCCTCCCTTCCCATATGTTTGAGGTTGAGCCTCACTGTACAGCTAGGCTGGGCTGGATTCCTCTGCCTGTGTAATACTCCTGCAACAGTCTCTGCAGTGCTGGAACTGTGGTCAGGACAGAAGGACAAAAGCCCCAACTCTGGGGTTTTAACACTCAACAAGTGTAGTGCACCAACACTACAATTAAAGAGACAAAAAGCAGAGAGAGGATTAATCAACATGCTGGGGAAAGGAACAAATGAAAGGATCCAGTGACCCTCAAGTTTGTTTTTTTTTTTTTGTTCTGACATGACCTTTAGGTTTAGATGTAGTACATATAGTTACTGGGGAACTGGGTGAGATGTAGACCTATTAGAAGTCTTGGTCATTTGTGTCGCCTTTTGAGCTTTATTTCAGCTCTGGCTCTGCAAGGTGGTATGAAGAAGTCCTGACTTGTGCAATTTTGTTCCTACAAGTTGATTACTCAAGCTAAAAGGAGCAGCCTCACA